AGCCACAAAATTCAGGCTGTTCTTCTCTGGGAATGTGGGCATCAGCTTGAGCTCCACGTCCTTCTGGACGTAGTGCTCGTGGAGGGGCAGGGCGCTCAGGCTGGAGGCGCAGGAGAAGTTCTCGTTGGGTTTCTCCACCGTGAAGTAGACCATGGAGTCCAGGTCCTGGGGCAGCTGGAAGCGTTCCTTGAAGTCGGTGATCTCCATGAACTTCTTGACGTTGTTCTCCCACTGGATGTTGAACTGGCTGGTCTCCTTCTCCGGTTGGCAGCCCAGCTCGAAGAGGGGCGTCTTGCTGCGGCTGGGTGGCATGGTCTGCCCAGGGCTGTCGGGCAGCTCGCTGGGACTGATGGTGCCACTGATCATCTCACTGCAAGGGTCGCTCTGGATGGAGCTGGCAATGGAGGGGCTCTCGAAGCTGCCCAGGGAGCTGACGGAGCTGCAGCGGCTCATCACCAGCGGCGTCTCCTGGATGTAGTTCTCCGAGGAGCTCGAGGGCGTGAGGTCCTCCTGGCGTGACGGTGATGACTCCCGCAGGAAGATCTTGTCGCGCTTCGGGAAGGGGATGGTGATGGGCTGGGAAATCCTAACCGGCGTGGCCGGACCCAGATCCGCTGCCTTCTCCTTCTCCTGCCCCCCATCCTCACCTTCCCCGTCCCCTTCCTCCATCTCCAGGATCTCCAGGGAGGAGTCGCTGTCCAGGTCGTTCTCGCTGTGGCTCTGCCCGTCCAGCACATTGTCAGCCGAGGAGAGGGAGGAGAGGGAGCTGCACCGGGAGAAACAGATCGGGGTGTCCTCCACCGAGTATTTCTGCACCGACTCCTGCTCCGTCGTGGCCGGCGGGTGGGCAGGCAGCTTCTCCGGGATCTTGCTCAAGGTCTCGGCCGTCTGCAGCAGCGCAGGGGGGAGCCAGGCTTGCTTTCTGCCCAGGAGGGAGGGGTGGTGGCTGGCACCGGCGGCCGCGCCGCTCTTGGCCAGGCTCTCGAGCAGGGGGACGTGCTGGTAGGACGGGGGGGGTTTGATGGTGGGGACC